AAATAAATGATCTTTTTTTTAATTGTTAATATTTTTCTTTGTTAATTGCTGGTCACCATGAAAATATTTTTATTCTATACATCCTTAATTTCTAAATGAGTCGTTAAAATATATTTAATATGCATCAAGTAATTGACATATACCTGGTGTATCAATAAAATTTAAATATACCTGGTGTATTTAATGTACATTAAATATACAGGGAAACTTGGGACTTTAACTTGGAAACCAAAAAATTAGGATCTGCGGCTGGAATAAGATCAAATAATCACTATTTTTTATGATTTTAAATCTTATTAAATATATGTTTTCATCTTGCATATAGTATCATATATATTTAAAAAATATTATAGTGTCGTTTTCCAGTGTATTTTAATTTTTATTTCTTCTTATATTTATTTCTAAAGGTCTTGCAGCAAGATTTTTTTTTTAAAGTATTATTTTCATCATTTTGACAACAGCTTTAAAACGTTCGGAAATGAAAACGGTAAAAATCGTGCTTTAAAACATTTGATAACAAGTTCCAGGAGGTGAAAGTGGGCAGCGGATAAAAAATATTACTTTTGTTAGATCTAGATTAATTCAAAAATCATATTTTTTTATGATTTTTTATTTAAATTAAGTTGTTATTCAACTTTTAACCGCAACTATGAAAGTTTTAATTAAAAAAACCTAAATGTATTTAAGTTTATAATAAACCCATTTAACTTTTTATTTGATTAAAGTTTATGCGATTAAATTGTTTTCAATAAAATCTTTAACAATTTTGGTAACGGACGTTTTTTAGGGGAAAAAAATCGGATAGCAAAGTTGAGGGCCAGTTAATTTGTTTTTAAGTTTAATTAGAAGCAACATTAGTGATGCAATTTTTATGCTAATTTAAAAGTTATTTTGTTTTCGCTGCTTTATTTTTTTTAATTTTCTTCCTACACATTTTTTAAGGGTGGAAAGAGGGTAACAAGACTGATAGGGCGCTGAGTGTACCCTCTAAATATATTTGTTCATTTTATCAATAAGTTCTTAAACATTAAACTAAATACATCTAAATATAATATATTTGTCGAAAAGTAACTTACTACAAACTGTATTTGCAATTACATTAAAAACGTAAAACACGTATTCATCATTTTTTTAAAGCTGATGTAACAACTGATGACGATTTCAGATAATTGAATTGAATTGATTTCAAGCAGAGCAGATAATTAAATTGAATTTTATTCTAGCAGAACTAATGGTTGAATTGAATATTTTCAAAATATTTTAACGATTAAATTGAAGTTAATTCAAGCAAAACTGATGATTGGCACATTTTGTTCATTTCCATACAAGCAAGCAAATTGACGTAATTCCAACAATATCTAGTTTATGCTTCAACTAGATTTTTTTGACATTAAACCAATAAAAATTCCAAAAACCAAGAGAAATCAAATCAATTTCATTGAGTTTGCGGAAACAGTTTATTAAATATAATTCAAGTATGTTTTTGAAGCATCGGGAAATCTACGTATATTTTAAACTGAGTTTTTTAAAAACTAGCTGAAATATTATTTTTATTTTTTATTTTGTTTTAATTATATCAAATGAAAAAATTATTTTGATTTGTTTGTTTTTTGCAAGCAAAAGATTGAAAAAAAATTTTTTTTAAGTTATAGAGAAATTAATAAGCTTTTTATATAAAAATATATACGAATTTAATTAGAATTCTAACAAAAAAAAATTATTTATTACGTAACTTTATTAACTAAGAAACGAGAAAAAAAAAAGTTTATTTGGGAATAACTCTTAGGAAATGAAATATGTGAATTAATGGATATTGAAAAGAACACTTAATTAAAAAAAAAAACAATTAATCACGACGATATGTTTTCTGATATTTAACCGTAATTAGAGGAAGTGGATTTCTAACTTTTTGCAGTTTTTATTCTGTTCTGCTTACTAAAAAAAAAAAAAGAAAAAAAAAAAAGACTACGTAAATATAGTCTAGAAATCTACTATATTTGAGTGTTTTTATATAGTTTCTTGGAGAGAATAAAGTTAATTTAAAAAATATATATATATCTTTGGTTGATCCATAATAGTGGAAAAAGTCACCAAATCACCAAATCAGCAAAATTGATCACATTTCAAAATGCTCTAACTCAATTTGTCTTTATCTGTTTTCAATTAAATTTTAGGATATTCTACAATACATCTAGGTACTTCATTTAACCGTCAGTTTTTACCTAAATTAAAATATTAAAAAGTTAGTTACTTTTTTGGATGAACCCATTGATTTTCAATAGTTTTGTGAGAGGTTTTAAAACGTTTAAGTCTATAAATGAGTATTTGTAGTGATTCATAAAAAATTTAGAGGTTAAATAGTTTATATATGTTGTGAACATATACTAATAATATGAAAACAAACAGCTTGTCCAATATCAAGTTAAATGCGAAGCTGAGAAAAACACGAAAAGTTTAAATAATCTCAACAAATAAATCTTAATAACTTAATATAGCACAAGAGCCTCTAAGGCTTCTTTTTTTTTAAATGTTACTGTAGCTCTTCTGCTTTGCTCTGATGGATTTTCTTCGTTTTTTTACATTGTCATTAGCTTTTTTGGTCATGAGTGAAATTGAAATCCAGTTCCTTTGCAATTTGATGCAAAACTGTTCCTGTAAATCTGAAATTTGTTAAGCTTCCAAGGATTCCCTTTCTGCCGTTGTTAAAATGTATTACAGCGGAATAGGCACTCATTTTCAATTGCTTTTATTCCAACAAATATGAACTTTGGTACACCCTACTATATGATTTTAGGTTTTAATCTTTCCCAATATTCTGTCATTAAAGCTTTAATAATTGGAAAGATGAGATTTTCTTTTTTTCTTCGTTCTTCTACTTCTTGCCACACATTTCATATTTTCATATAATTTTTATTTTTAATTCAACGACACCATCTACAATCTGTTTTTATTTCCTTATCTCCCAGGTCTATGTAATTAGAAGGTTCCGTTTGTCACTTTTTGCGATCTTTGCGTCGCATGAACAATTAAAAATTTATTTATTGAGGCTGGTGAACCCCGACTTGTTTCAATATACACTACAACAACAAAACAGACATTAGGCTATCCCGCTGGATGTGGTTACGGCTCACAATAACCTAATGAATACGCTACCCACAATGCACGCCAGATCAGCGCTCGCTGACTATGTAATACTAATACGGGGTGGTGGCTCTTTTGGCTAAGAGCGATAACTTGTGGCCTACGGCGACTTATGTGTGCATTCGATCAATTAAAATCCATTCTGTAGGTCTTACGTCTGGCTCTGATGTGCTAGCCTGTAAGCCCAAGAAGTGAGTGTGTTTAGCTTTCTATTCAACCGATTTGAAAGTGAACGAACGCATAAAGAGACCATATTAGACGACAAAAGGGAATATACTAAAACACTACATCAACCCACCTGTAGACATCAACAGTCTCTAGTATAATATAATGGTTTATGTTATAATGTGTGAATGAGATTGTAAAAATATCACCTTGCATACAAATAACTAACTTAAGAAGACAACCGGTTATCCGTGGTCCAAAGAATGTTTGGCAAGAGTTTTGCAATTCTATAGGAATGCACTAAGCAAAAACGAGGCGTTAATATTTTGGGCCTAATAACACAAACAAACCACCAGAAAATAAAAGTATGTAGATGGTTTTTAACCAAAATTTTTTTTTTTTTTTTTTTTTCAGTTTGCAATTATTAATCGTAATATAACAATATAACAATATATAAACTTGGTATCTGAAAGAAGATCCAAATGATCTTGTCGCCAGAACCATATAAAAGATATAATACGTGTATATATAATAAAATAAAATACAATTGATCAAATAACTAATAACAATGTAGAAGAAACAAAAACTGAAAATAATTTTACAAATTTTACATTTCAAAAATATTTATATATATTGCCAGTAGAAAGAATATAGTTTTTTAATTTAGTTTTAAAAACGGAAAACGAAATTGACAAATCAAAATTTGGAACAACAATTTTGTTCCATAAATACGGTGCTCTATAGTTTATGCAAAATTGATTAAACTTTGTTTGACAAAAGGGTTCAATTAATAAATTATTATTTCGTAAAGCATATTTGTTTATAGCTTTATAAGTAAAAAGATCTTTGAAATTGGACAATGGTCGTTCACTTTTACAACGAAACATAAAACATAAAATATTATAGACATTGAGTTCGTAAACGTTAAGTGCTTTAACGTTTTTAAATAAAATATTTGAATGAGAAAAACGATTTTCGAAACATATTAAACGCATTGCGTGTTTCTGACGATGGTAAAGACTTCGTAACTTACTTTTAGAGGTACTTCCCCAAACAATATTTGCATAATTTATATAGCTATGAATAAACGAGTAGTAGAATTGAATTAAATTTTGTTTACTTAGATAGTATCTGACCTTATATAGAATTCCAATACTTTTAGCCAATTTAGTAGAAATATAGTCGATATGATACTTCCATGTAATATTTTCATCAATGTAAATGCTTAAAAATCTTGTGACCGACTCCTTTTTTATTTCAATTTTATCAATAAAAAGTTTAGGCAATTTATTTGGTAAAAAACGCTTTTTAGCAAGAGAGTGGAAAAGGATCCACTTTGTTTTGTCAATGTTTAAACTTGTTGCACTTAAACCAGTTGGAGATCTGATTGAGTTTATTATTCATATTTGAAAAAAGCTCATAAATGCTACTGTTTGACAGAAATAAATTAGTATCGTCCGCAAAATTTATATTCATAAGGTTAGAAGCTTTATTTAAATCATTTATATAAACTAAAGTTTAACTAAAGAGTAATCATAATAATGCTCAACTGTAAAGCCTCCCATTGAAAACACACAACGGTGATACTCAAAACCCGTACAATAAACGAAAATTGATGAATGAGAGCTAAACAATTTCATGATGCGAGGTAAGTCAAAAAGCTTCTTATACACCCTCCTCTAGGCTTAACCTGA